CGCCGTCGGAGCAGTGCAAGACCGAGGTTTTCTCCTGGCGTATTGTGACATCGCCCTTGCACTCAAAACATAACGCGTATTTTTGGGCGAAGGTGCTCTTCTGTTGCAACTGGACGATGGCACTTCGGAGCTTGGCCATCCTCTTGACGATCATAAGCAGGGTACCACTACTCGACGCCAGCTAAACAGGGTACCACTACTCGACGCCAGCATCAGGCAGCCGTAAAGGCCTCCGCTGGCGCCCGCGGCGCCAGGCGAACGCCGCAAACAAGGCCTCACGGAATGACTGGAACATCAGACGATGTTAGTGGCATCCCTTCTTGTCAACACGGAGCCTGGTCACCTTTAAGTCGGGTGGTGGGAGGCGGCGGATACGGCGGATCCAATGAGCTGGTAGTAGAAGGCGGACGGCAGCGTTAAGCGGCTGGTGGAGCCAAGCGAAAGGGAAGCTTTAATCAGGGGGTTGGAGATACCAAAACGCCCAAACCTCTGCCTACCAATCTGGTTACGGAGACAGCTTAGGATTTGGAAAACGATGCCTCGTCTTGCCGCCCTCCGTGCCTGCGTCCTTGAGTATAGCAGTGCGAGTTCATTGTTCGCCATCGCGTGAGCTGTCTGAACCAGCAGAAGTTTACCGAAAGCGGCCTGACCGCCGCCTGCAGCTTTGGGTCAGTGGCCTTGCGAAACAAAAACGCCGCGGGCGCTAGCTGCGTGGACACGTGGCTGTTCTGAATAGGAATCTGAGTATGCTTGCTCTATGTGAAACACGTGAAGCTCAGTGGTGATTCAATGGGGGGGGGGGCGGGGGGGGGGCATAGGCATTCATCTTCAGATGCAGTGCATCGACATAGATGTGGCGGATCAAACATGGAGTTTGACACGTAAAACTATGTCGGTTGAAAACATGCAATGCTGTTATACGTCGTGCAAGCAATTTTCTGTGTCTCAGGTGAGGAAATATTTGTTCTCAGTAGAATGCATTGTTATGTCATACGTTGGGATATCCTGCATACACACCTGCTGGCTTGGACACAAGGAAGGACGGGTAATTTCTGGACTTGGTGCTGATGCCTCGAAGTGCAAAATTTTACATGTCCTCCGATGGTACATCGATTATACATATTCATCGATTCTTCATTTTCGTCGTTAATTTTTTGAACGCATCACCTTGCGATAGAGTGGGCGCAAACATAAAAAAGAAACTGTAACATGTATGTTTCACGTATTGCATCAGAAAGGTGAGATCACATGTAACACCCAGCCTGCAGCCCGAAATGGCGGAAACCTCAATATTCTGTTATCCACATTCATGTTTCACAGCGATCAAATAAACTTATCAGTGCGAGTACAGCTATGATGACGCATTTGGCCCCAAAATATTTCAAAGTTAACGTCAAAACTTGTCGCGAACGCACTCTCAGAGGCTCACTGCAGCGCTTACGTCATCGTTTGGGCGTCTCGCCCCCCCCCCCCCCTGACATCGAGCCTTGACTGTCTCATGGCCGCTCGGGGGCCATTGTGACCCTCACACCAAGTGGGTCTCGCTGCCGACTGTGTCTGATAATGACGGCGATGGCGGCGATCTGCTGGTCGCGCCCAGGGGCCGTCACGGGACCTTCACATCGCGTGCAATGTGTACGCCGCCTGCTGTTAGCCTCAGTTGCTGCCGCCTCTAGGAGCGGCGCAGTCAGACGTGGGAGGCATCCAACAGCCCTGTGGAATTGTTAAGTGGGTCACCCATGATAGGGGATAATTTACGGCGCGATGAGTCAAGGAAAGTGACAGCTTCAGCCAATTGAGCTAATGTGCATGAGAGGGAGAGCTGCTGGAAATATCAGGGTTATTTTGTGAGATGACAGTGAGGCTTTTGGTGCGTAACTTAGGACATCAAAGAAGTCCGGGCCTGGAAAACATCTGCTTGTAAATTGAATGGCAAGCATATGCAATGTATAATCACACTAGCACGTTATTTCCTACATTTGAAAGCACGTCATTCATGCCTACATGTTTGTCCCCGTAGCTGAGCTGGTCGCCTGTCTTCGGGTTCACCCACCCTTGACGGGGTGGGACCTGGCCGTTTTACTATGTGCTCCTGGCTTGCATGGCCTGTGGCCTGTCGCAGCGACATCGCACTATGGCATGTTAAACCTTCGCCAACAATTTTGCTGTTGACCTGGATTTCACGATTGGATAGTGGGGTCAGGGCTCACGTGATACGCATGGGGTAGTGAGGACTCTATTTCCAGGAACTGATCCAATCAAAGGTTGAGATCAAGCATTCAAACATGACACCTCATTGGTTCGGATGTAAGATAGCTGCTCAGACGAATAATGTTTGTGAGCATTGGCATATGCATTAATCGCAGTTAGGCGAGTGTATCATGAAGGACAGTCTCTTAATCTTTGAAAAATGACAGATATGTTTGTCAGTTTGTCGTGACCAGTGGCGATAAAGACGCATGGGCAGAGTTTTCTCTACGGCGAGACCCGCGCATTTGCATTTGCCCGTGTCGCTGCAGGAGCGATGCAACATTAGCAATTTGTAACGGCGCCACGGCGCTGCGAGAGAGCTGACCTCTTGCATAATCTCCGCACGGACGTTGCGCTTGCCGACTGAGTTACGGACGCGCAAGATCGCCGGTGTATGAGGACGGCACAATTATGAAGACGTATTCTCTGATTAAGTTGCTGCAGTATGGCGTCGCCTTTGTTCCGCACCGCTTGTCGAACTATTCGTTGACCACGTCACCCGGTCTTTTAATTATGCTAATCACGACAATCTAGTCGAGGAACTGGTTTTTCGACGCTAAACTCGCATGCTTAGTGGGCAAATTAATACAATATACGTCTAGGCCATGCTGATACGGCTGCTGGTTGTCAGCCTGTAAAAACTAGCTGGACGAGAAAAATGGCCACTTGCTGTCCAGTCCCCGACACCTTTTGTGCGCGAGACCTGTAGCGGCGATGACCTGTCGCGCCAGTGCGAGGCCGCGGCCCAACAATGCGCCGTATCTGCAGCCAGTCTCGCGGAGAGCTGCGTAGAGCTGGGGTCCGCTGCTGAAAGCCCGTCAAGGGGAGTTCAGGGATGGGACAGTGCGCGACGTTTGATGGGATTTGCGGTCGCGTTGAGGTGGGTTTGGACTGTCCAGCGGTATTTAAAACGGTATTTGTCTCATCGCCTACACATGCATCAGCATTCACGGGCCACAGTAGCCACGCTGAGCTAAAACGCATGCGAACAACATGGGCGATGGCATTGTGCTTATATTTGCAAGCTGCTGTGTAAGATATATATATATATATATATATATATATATATGTATATATATATATATAGATAGATATAGATATAGATATAGATATAGATATAGATATAGACTATGATAGATAGATAATATATATATATATATATATATATATTATATTTCCAGCCTCCAACTGGCGTGAACACGGATATTTTGGCTGGTGGCTGAATGACGCCTCTAACCCCGCGGGTCCCAAACGATGTAGAAGCACAGGCCTCTTCACAGTACCCATCATGCGCTTTTGGACTGCCAAAAACCTCACACATGCATACGATGTTTGCAAGAGAGATTTCAATGTCAGACTCACATCCACTAAAATTGCAGCCCGTTATCAAAACTCCCATTCCTACCTCCTCGTTCACACAGATAGCCAAAGTGGGTCCAGTCGCGCCTGCCTGAGTTGCCTGGGCTGTCTGAGCTGTCTGGGCTGCCTGAGCTGCCTGGGCTGGCTGAGCTGCCTGAGATGCCTGGGCTGCCTGGGCTGTTCGAGCTGCCTGGGCTGCCTGGGCTGCCTGGGCTGCCTGGGCTGTCTGAACTCCAGCCTGAACCGCACTTACGCTTACTCCAGGCACGGCGCTGTGTTGTGTTGTGTTGTGTTGTGTTGTATTATGCGGCCTGCCCAGAGCGTGTCTCGTGCGGCTGTCTCAGAAGCACAAGGGGCCGTGGCGGCCACAGCTGACCACGCACTCCACGACAACCCAAGCAGTGTGCCATCACCGTCGCCGGAGACAGCGTGTCGTTACGATCACCCCCGTCGGGGTATTATTACGACCTTCACGCGCAGGTTGTCGTTACCACCGCCCTAGACCTGATGGTATGAGGACGATCGCCTGGCAGTGTGTCGTCACGACCTCCTTCAGTCGGGACGCCGTCACGAACATCCCTGAGAGTGCCGTCAAGACCTCCCCAGACGCGGTCCCGGTCCTATCATCTCCAGAGCACCGCCGGCCATAAGCTAGCACCCAGCCCCGCGCGTGTCGAACCTTCGTAGCTGGCCTTCCGGCCGGGTCTGAGGGGAGGGGCGTCTGAGGGCTGCAACTGTGGCCGACAGCCGCGACTGGGGCAGCCCGGGCCGGGTCTGGGACAGGCCGCCTCTGCTGGTTGCAACTGTAGCCGCCAGCCGCGACCGGGCAGCCCGGGCCGGGTCATTTGTAAGGCGGAGTGAGTCTGCCTGAGGCATGATGTGCCGGTGTCAGCCGATCTGTCAGCGGGAGCGGCGCATGACAGGACCATCGATTACATGACGGCTAGGGAAATTGGATTAGTGAGCTCCTGATGTGATTGAAGCGGCTGTCCTGGGCTGAGGCTGCGGAGCGTGTTAAGTGGTCGACGTCGTTTAAAATAAAAGCGTTTGTGCAAGTCGGTCCAGTCATCGCTCACTCGCTGCAACACTGGCACTGAAACTCACTGTTATACTGGCACTGAAACTCACTGTAACACTGGCACTGGTGCTCACTGTAACACTGACACTGTAATTCGCTGTAGCACTGCTGCCGTAACTCCCTGCAACACTAGCACTAAATTTCACTGTAACACTGACACTAAAACCCACTGCAACACTGGCACTGTAAATTACTGTAACACTGGCGCTGTAACTCAATGTAACACTGGCACTCACTGGGACGTTCGCCGGGTTGGCGTCGCGTTTTGGCAGAAAAGCTCCCTGCGAGGTAACACGGCCGTTCTGCGTTTCAGTTGCACCGAGTCGGGTGGGGATGAGCAAGCGGAAGGATCGACTCAAGGGTCTGCACCCTACCCGCGTGCCGTCGCCCTTCCCGCTGCTGCCCGTGAGGAGGGCCACACCCGGGGCGCCATGGTGAGTACCAGCTCCAGGCCAACCTCCCTAGAACTATACAAGACATTCCAGCACTTCCTGTTGAAAACTAACGATGTTCAGAACCATAGCAAGCAGTTTAAAAAGCGATAGAAAGCTCGTATATTAGTGGCATGCATATATATGTTAGCTATTAGCTATATATTAGCGACAGAAAGCGTTGTGCAAGCAAAAACGCTGCCAGACGACACCAGCGCGGTATTCAGGGACGCCGTTTTTGGTCTTTACAAGTAAATACGCTGTTTGCTTGAAACTTCTCAAAGTTCAACATTGTTGAATGAAAGCCCAGTACTCTACCCCCTCCCTGTGTGCAGGACCTCTCCCCTCGCACCCACCCACATTTTCACCAAGGTTCGGCCGTTCGCGTACGCTGGCAACCCGCCACCTGCCCGCGATAGCCAGACTACAAGTGCAGAAAACAGAAATCAGATGGCGCTAGGAGTCGCCGGATGTTATGACACCTGTGGGCTGCTGCGCTTGCGGCCGGTCAGCGGTCCACGGTTTCCAGACTCTACAGCAAAAGTGGCGGATGAACGTCTGCGCCGACATTGTCTGCGGTGATGCGATCAGACAAGTGGCGTACCTGGCGTCTGGCGCCGGGATTAGCCTAGGAAACGCCGCAAAGAATTACTGCCACCCGTGCTGCGCGCCGAGCAACGGGCGTCGTCAGCGGAGGCTTTCAGGACACATTAACGGAACGATTTAAGCTGCACCTTTATTTTGCTCAAGTCTGTCGGTTGTCCCTCGCTCCCAAGGTCTGGAACAGTGACAAACCGGTGTGGGCAGTACGTGTGCCTCCGGGCTCACCTGATGAAGTGGCCAATCACGTACGGAATAACTTCGTGTCAGGCGTGGGAGCGGGCTTTCTGTTTCGTCGTTGGACGCGTGAACATTATGACCATAAGCAGCACATATTTTTAGGCTTCGAGAACTTCAGGCTCATTTTTATCTGTTCGTCGCATCCGGTCGACTCTTTGCACCATGCCAGAGCTAACATCACCATGACATGTCGCAGTCCGAGAGCCTTATGCCGAAAAAGGGTCCGCTCCAACCGGCACGAAATCTTAAAACCAGCTCGGTGAATGTCAGCCCCGCTTGTGAAAACACTCGGTGGTCAGTTCAGGGTCTGTGTTACAAAGCATGCAAAGTTCGGCCCCAAATTCCAACGCTGGTTTTTCAAGCATTTAGGACGCGACCGTTTTAAATTGCCACGACGACACCATTCAAGCCCGTGGCTGCTGCTTCCCTCCAGATCCTCCGCGTTTCTCAAAACCAATCGTCTGCAGTGCCGCGATAGCCTCCGCTCGATCCGCTCATAAACCCCGAAACGGTCCCCAGACAACGGAAAGTGCGTGGCCGGCGACCAAACTCAAACATCTCCCCAACCGCCCCGCCGTTCCGCTGTCCCCCTCCCCCCCACAGCCAACGATACAACTTGCGGTGGCGGCACCGCTGTGGCAGGAGGCACTGCCGGCCGTCGCGGCACTCGGCGATGATTAGACGGCGCCACGCCATCGTCGCCGCGGCGGCCGCTCCCGACGGGCTCGTCGGAACCGACGGCCGCCTCGTCGGTGCCGACGGCGGCCGCGCCGCTTCTTCGGACGCGCCAAAGGGACCGTAAAGAGGCGCCGCTGGTGCTACCTGAGCGTGACCGGCGACCCGGTGGCGGCGGCGGCGGCGGCAGCGGTGCAAACGCAGACGACACCGGCAGCGGCGGCGCGTGTGAGGCAGACACCGGCGACGCCCGGTCGGCGACAGGTCGACAGGTCGGCCAGACTGGAGCCTCAGCGCCGTGAAAGGGTGTCAGGTCAAACGCTGGGTGCCATTAGACGTGCTGTCACCGACGGCACGATCGAATGTTCACGTTCAGTCGGTTTTGATTCGGTGTTCTTGAGTTCTATTCCGGAGGCATGCGCGGGTGGCATTGAGTTCACGCGTGCACGCGATGAACAGAGCTTGCTGGGTATGCTCTGCACCCATCACGGAAGTAGTGCGGCGATATTGCGGCGGATAATCCTTCCTCTTGGCTTTCTTTTAATTCCGAATGGCACGCGAGGGTGATATTGAGCTGTGAGTGCACGTGATAAACGGAGCTCGTTGGGAGCGATCAGCCTCCACCACCGGCGTAGTGCGGCTAGGATGCGGTGGATAATCCTTCCTCTCGTCTTCCGTGACGGGGCCTTTTGCATTCCGTATTCTACTGATGCACAGTTGCCACGAGTCAGTCACGAGTTAATGTAATGAAAACAATCACGAGCAGGAAAAGCGACCTTTTATTGCGGTGCTATGAAAACATTGAAGGTCGTCTCGCGTTCAAATTGTGTTGTTGGCCCGTCTGACAATCGCATACGGAGGGGATTGGGGGTCATGGCAGGCGTCAGATTGGTCACCGTCATTTCCTCCATGACGGGGACGCATGACAGGTATGTCACTGCGCTGTGGCTTACTCCTGACCTCCCCCGTCGCGAGGCGGACACGACTAAGAGCATCATCCCGTCTCGGTCTCGATTGTTTACGGGGCTGAGCCGTCTCACGGGCGACTGACCCATAGCCACGATTTCGAGCTCATGTCGCCTCGGCGGCGGAGACGGCACTAATGAGCCCGCCCGATAGCCGTCGCGACCGCATGCCGCGGAGTCATAGCGAGTCGTGACGACTCGAGCCGGTCGCGTCCGACGTTCACGGCTGGCCTGACTCCACCACTGATGGACGATCGGCGGGCGGCCCGGCCGGCGACGCGCGGCGTCAGATTTGTTGACGATCTGAACCGGCCCGTCTCATACGCCGCCTAATGAACCGTAACCGGCCGGTGTCGTCTGCGCGGTGGAGTCGATGTTGGCTGTTTGGACGGGTGGCCTGCCGGGCTCTGGTGCAGCCGTCTCGTTGGCGGGCACAGTGCCGCACGTGGGACGATCGGCCACCCGGCGTCGGTCTTGTGAGGTCTCGTTACGATGGATGGCGCTTTCCACTGGGCCAGTTCCCCGGGTGCTTGTGGCAGCCCTATGCCGCTCCCTGCATGCATTCGTGTCTGCAGTTGCAGCCACTTGAGCGAATTGGATGGCGGACGGATAATTTGAGGAGAACAAAGGTCTGAGAAAAAGACCACGTCTGTGTGGGATTTGAAGCAGATTACGGTTGCTGATATGAAAAAGCTAATACTTTTTTATGTGCAGTGTTGATAAACATGCACTTACGGCATTCACCCATCCGTTTTTATTTGACGATAATGCCTGCACCATGTCTGACCAAATCCGAGATCGGGAGACATTTTTTTAGAGAGGTATGTGCCGAGCTATACAGATTATTCATTGCGTGCGGTTGCCTTGTATCGTCTGGGCCTGCTCTATTCTGTCGTAATGACTGTAAACGAGATGACGGGCTTAGACTGAGGATCCCTTGAAACAACGTCAAAACAGAATGAGTATTATCACGTGGGTGTACACGTGACGTACACGTGACTGCTGAAACATTATACTTCAGAGCAAAACAAACTGTGCTCGGTCTTCGAGTCGGGCACGTGACACTCACACGACGCTGCCTGCTAAATTTGAACAGAACGGTTACCGGTATGTGAACAAGTCATTCAGCACGCTAATCATATTGTGTGATCATGCCGAGGGACTTGCTGCAGTACAGATTGGTTGTCTTTTCCATGATCAGATATCACTGCGTGGCAGCGCCGAGTCATGTTTCTCTTTCACGACCCTACAACTACGATCAGCAGCAAATGAATGACCATTTTCGACATCGCCGTATCGCCTATTTAAAGCCTACTTACATTAGTCACGTTCTCATTCAAAACCAGGTCATACCGGTGATTACGTTGCACCGTATTATGTGGTCACGAAATGACAATCTCCTCTTTATTGCTATTTGAACGACAGGTTTAAAGTTCAAAGCAGCAGGCCAGATTTGCCGTGCAAAGACGCAGAGCTCCGCTGAGAGAATTCAAAACGTTACCAGCCCTTGTCGCTAAACGGAAGGCCATGAGAAGCAAATCGGCGTAAATCGAGATCTGCCCTGAGGCTGGGCATTCCCTCCAGCAGTCTTCACGTATCTGTCGTGGTCTGGCTAAGCTACGTGGCTCAGCCCCATGGTTGTGGTCTGATTGCGATTTGTGTAGCACTCCGATTTTTTAAGTATAACGTACAGCTACACCTGCTTCGGTGCAAGATAGTGCAAATATTCAAAACCTGAACATTACATTTATGCTGCAATGTGCTTGTTTAAAACTCGTTTGGCCTGCATCTTCGCTCACATCGCCGGATACTAGCAGGCTTGGACTCACGCTACGCGTCTAAATATTCCCTCGTTTTTGTACAGTTCTAGATGTACAAGCGTTCAGTAGTTCAGCAGACGCATTCCACGTTGCCAACATGCTTCCAGTGACGCACAAATCAAGCAGTGTCTGTGTGCATTCTTGCAGACGGTACCGTGCATCGTCAACACCACTCGCGCATGCTTTCCGCAACTCGGCGCGACCGTTGCATATTCACTCAGCGACCATGGCGTATTTTCGCCGCCCTCCTAACGTACAGTGCTCGAGCAACAGCGGCGTTTTGGACCTGGTGGCGTGCCAGTGTCTACAGCTTGCCAGCACGCCTCCTGCCAGCACACGAGCTTGCCTGCGCCGCGCCCACCCACAGCCCAGCTTTCCACCGGGGACGTGTAATCACCAGCAAATTGGAATCTGGCGGACGGCTGGCCGGAGGAGGCCTCGGCCCAGGCGCCATGCACGGCGCTCGCGCTCCAGGTGGGTTGGGCCGTTCGGCGCCGCTCTGTCACGGTTAGCGTGGGGACGGCCACGGCCAGGGGAGCGGTGATTGGTTCCTCGGAAGGTACCGCCGACGGCGCTGTCTCGTAGGAAAGCGCTCTTCTCTCTGCGTCGCGTAAGTGGGGCTGCTGAATTGGAGCTCTTTGCCTTCTGCGCTGTTCACGATTTCCTGTCTTTAATAGAGTGTTGGAAAATCTGTCGTCCGGAC